TCATGAGAGGTCAGGACCTGACCACCTGCAGCAACCCCACATCAGAGACCTTAATCCAGGTGGAGACGTGTCTTTTTGCCAGGTGGGCAGTGCATGATACAGTTCAGAGTGTATTGATGAGTTGTTGCTTTGGAAGGACCTGACATTGTGTTTTTACACATTCTTATTGTTTGAATTTATTACGGGGAAAAAGAGGCAGATATAAATTTCTTCTTTCTGCTTCCTTTCACTTCATTTATGATTTTTGTTTTTTATTGTATACAGATTTGTTTCTTTTTGTTTTAACGAATAAATAAATAAATAAAAGTTCCTCATCAATTCGTCCCTCTGCCAAACCACACCATTGCAGTTTTGGTAAATATATTTATAGGTTACCCAACTTAGCAACTTGATCTGATAAAACTTTAGCCCCACTGAGCTCCACAGCCTGACTYTCCCTCAACCTCCGGTGAAGAGGGGGTGAAAACTGTACCACTGCCATCGTTGCTCTCTGTGTTTATTTTAAAGGGATTATATTTACAGGATTTCAGCTCATGTAGTCATATTTATTTTTCATATTTACTGAATTACATCTGTCACAGGTCGGAGCTGCGCTGACAGTGGCGATGAGGTCCAGCTGCCTCTGAGTCGCTGCTTTATAAACGACTGTCTTGTTGTGCGCATGAACACAAGGTGTTACGGTGGAAATACTGAGGTACTTTCAGAAATATAATATATATAAAATATGTAATCCTCAGTGGAAAATAGTCAGAGAAACACTGACAGTATTCTCTGTAGATGCTGATGGCTGTGGGCAGCAAAGATCTTCTGTAGCGGTCTGTATTTCAATGAAACTGAAGAAGCCTCCGACTGAAGATTGTTTTTCTCTGACAGTCTGATGAAGAGGATGGACAGGGTTGTCCACAATGTTCTTCATTTTATGTAGAATCCTTCTTTGCACCATCATCTTCAGAGGATCCACAGTCGACCCCAGAACTGAACCAGCCTTCTTTAATCAGGTTGTTTAGCCATTTTAGGTCCAACCAGCAGCACGTTATGATTAGATCAGTTCATTTGAAATTACAAGATTTTATTTATCAAATCTATTTAGTTACAAAACAAAAAATACATTTTATGTTTTTAAAATCTTATTTAATCTTTTAAGTCATTTAACACCAAAGGATTATATGGAATGATTTTAGTCCCCAAAACATRGTTAACAGGTTAATATTTTAGTCCTGTTTAGTTTAACTACATTACACTTCATACTTCATTAAGCCCTGCTCTTGTTGTTTGCATGTTTGGGATGTTGTTGTGGAAACAAATGAGAATAGTACCATCTACTGGGTTAAAATCAGACTTGAAACACAGTTGACATCAGCTGTGTTTTTGAGAAACGGAGTACAGATATTTTAGATTTAAACAATGTTTTACAAACACCTGAGATTTTTTTTTAAGAAATCTACCCATTTTATTTCATGAAACCTATGTGCTGTTTTCTGTGTCACACTGAGCTCTTCTGATCTGAGCTAGAAATGTACACTCACCGGCCACTTTATTAGGTACACCTGTCCAACTGCTCGTTAACACTTAATTTCTAATCAGCCAATCACATGGCGGCAACTCNTAAATAAACAGTACGAAAACAATATGACTCCTGCTTACGCTTCGCGTGCGGGAGTCATAATAAATAATATAATTWAAAAAAACTAGAAAGGATATGATTGGGAGGCAGGAAGTTCCAGCTGAGGACCTGGTTGGCCAGTGCCAGGTAGCGCTGAAAGACACAGGACATTTGAGCGTTGAGGTTCTCCCGTCGACTGAACTCCTGCAGCACCTCCATGGTCATCAGAAAGATCTGACGCAGGCCGTCYTCCTGAAGGGGAGAAAAGAAATGAACAAGTTGACGACTGCAGTAAGAGTGGGAGACAGAGAGGCAGGTGAATAAATGAAAAAATAATAATAATCGAACCTGAAACAGACGCTTGCAGTTCCCATGAAACTCCATACTGAGGCCAATGCTGCTGGTCTTACTGGAGCTGGAGAACTCACTGAGCAGAGCCGTCAGGATGGAGCAGGCCAGTGTTTGCTGCAGACGAGACAACTGGGTAAATGACCACACAGCCAGTAACAGCAAAAATACATGAATTCAAAAGAAGTGACAATAATTGTCTGAGTAAATACAGTAGATTCACTAATATCGMATCATCAAAATAATTTGATCTTTCTTTCACACTGTAAGAAACTGTAATAAACTTGGGTGTAAAAATGTCAGGAGGCATTTGTGTTTACAAGCAGCACAAAAGAACTAGAGCAACTGCAAAGAAAATAAAACACAGCAAGTTAGGACTTAATGCATAARCAAGTGGAGTAAATARTGTTTTGAAAAATCACAAAGCACMATCAGGTATTTCAAACTAATTTGAGAAGAGWTTCCATTGTCATCCTTTTCTAAGTGAAATAGTAAACTTGTTCAATCAATACTAAGTGAATGTTGGCCTGTGTCCTGCAGCTAAAATACCCAAAGTACATAATGATGCAAGTCACACAGTCAATGACAATAACATTTTTCTTGGTGAAACTAATAAGAAATACGGACAAAAACAAATCTTACAGACAAAAGATGGAGAGGACACAGAGATATGTTTGTAAAGGATAGTGACCAACTGTTGCTGTTTTGTTGGAATCATCACAGGCCTTCATTATTTAAATAATG